GTTTGTTCCCAGTTTATTAATAACGTTTCAGATAAAGTTGATATCAAAATGGTAACAAAAACTTAAACTGATTAATTATGGGCCGTGAATTCGAAAGTCTTTTAATAAACTTCTAGTAATAACGGGATGGCTTCTCCATTTTTCAGTTTCACAGGCATCGAGAGTAAGAATCAAGGGAATCCTAAATGGATTGAAAATGCCGTTTTATGCAGAAGAACATTTCTGGCGCCCTTCTGCTAATGAAGTTAGTCGTTGCTGCGAGTCAGCAGCAGTTATATCGCAAGGATAGTGTGCAGCCTCCTGTTTCCTTTCCACAGAATGGTATTCATTTATCAACTTCAAAAGGAAGAAAGGCGAGCGAACGGACCGGTTTTGTGTCTGACGATCAACCGAGTGAGCAACTCCGCTTTATCTGGAAACTACAGATCATATGATCTTACTACTGAAGTAAAACACTGAAATGGTGGTTGTCTGCGAATATTTTAAAACCGTAGACGATTCCTAAACAAGGAAAGAGGAATATTAGTTCCCATGAGTCAAAAATAAGTTTCAAGCCAAACCTATTTGCAGTGAACGACAGATAAAAATGTAGGTCTCGAGTATACGGGAACAGGAATGGATTGATGATCATGCGATGAAGCGCTTCACAAATTGCATAGGTGATAAATGACACTGTGGAAAAAGGTGTCGTTAGCCTATCGAAAATAGAGGATGTGCGCCACATGCTGAGGAGTGTTGTAAAATGCGTCGTCGGCAAATGTACCTCATCTGACTTGCTGTCCGAATCTTTCGTTTCCATATAGGGCTTGTTCTTGACACGATTCAGTTCCTCGTGCAGTCCATCGAGCAGAAACGCCATCAGTTCGTGAGAGTCCTGCTGCTGATATCCACTGAACATCGGTTGGTACCTTCCGACGGTCGACTATAAGAACAATGATAAAGGAACGAAAACTTGGGAATTCGAAAACCACCGCCACGTATAACACCCCGTCATCAGTTAGGGATCTTTACCTTAAATCGTCGAGGAAAAAATGACGTCTCGTTGCCGCTCCAAATCTGCTGCAGCAGATTGGCGTATGCTTTCGCTAATTCCCCATGCATCCCCAAAGGATTCTTTTCGTTAATTTCCGCCTCATAACGACCAGACAAGAAATACTCGGTCAACGGCGGAATGTTGCTCAAACACTGAAAGAGAAAGCAAGAAAGCATTCGGTTAATTCGCCCAGGAATTCACGTTAAATCACCTAACCTGCAGTGCCGAGTTCATGAAGCATGTATTGCCCATGTTCGTCAGACCACAGAGACCTGGAACGACCGAAGTGCCGCGAGCACCATACACGGATAGCGACGAAGGAGGCGGGTTGATGGACGGATTGGACGGTCCAAAAAAAATCGACTTCGACCTAGCACAAGATCAGCGTCAGGTGAAAATGAAACATTAGGACTAGACAAATATGTACCGCAAAACCCATGCGCACACCCAAGAATACAAATATCTAATAAAATCTAGGTCGAAATATCTAGATAAATTAGTCAGGTTCAGCCAAAAACGGGGTGTACAGAACATGGTAATTCGCCCGATAGCAACAAATGAACCAAATCTACAACATAAGGCTGTAATCAATGTCATCACCGACATGACTGCGCAAAAAAGTCGTTCTACGAAACATTCATAGATACAACAAAAGTCGACGTATATAACTATACAGACAAACAAAATTTCACAGGCAGAAATACATTCCTTAGAACTATGAACCGGTCCGCGACGCATCGAGAGTTACAGTAGGAAAACTAATGAAAAGAAATACATAATCTGGACTTTCAAGAACTGAATATTATAGACAGATACAGCGTGACTGCTTAATAATCATCGAATCATACGTCAGTTAGATGCAAACAATAAATTCATTCGAATCATTCTTAAACATGACAATATGTAAGAAACGACGGTAAAAACGTTTGTCCACATCTTCTATTTGCTGTTTTAGAAAACTGTACTTGACAT